TCGGCGTTTATCGCGTTTCCCGGCGCTCGCGCTTCCTGCTCCTGATTGCAGATGCTGCTGTCTAATCACAGCTTCCTCCCCTGCCTCTCAGGGCTCCCAGGGCAGGTTGGCATCATCCCACCCTTCGTGTTCACCTCCCACCACTGGTTTTCCCCATGTTGTTCACCTCCTCCTCCTTTTCCAAGAAGTTCCTGTTCGTGTGCTGCTCTGCTCCTCGGCTGCCAATGCTCTGGAGCGAGGGCTGGTGCCTGATATTGCTGCGTGCCAGAGATAAGAGCTAATCTCTGTTTCATGGTCATGAATAAAACTTGCAGATCAGAGTCTCTGTGCGGAAATCAGGACCATACAAACCCTCACGGGAGGAGGGAGGGGGCTGGCAGCACATCCCGTGTACTGAAGCTGTTGTTTTTGTGTGAGCCTGCCCCTACAATGCACCAGGCTTGGCTGGCAGGGAGGTACAGCTCAGCAAGCACTGGGCAAGAGGGGCCAAAAACATTGGTGGGGCAGAAGACTTCAGTTTTTGACTCATGGACTGTTTTCAGGTTGCTTTTGGAGATTAATCTGCAGCTGTGGCCTCCCAACATTTGCCAGTCAACAGGAGGACGAGACAAATATCTGAAGTACCAGAGGAGAAGACCATGTGGGATGGAGTGAAGAGATGATGGAGTCTCCAAGAAAAAGGGTGGAAGAAGAAAAAGTAGGAAAAGAGACAGACTGTAGAATCAGAGGGAGAAAAATCAGTTTGGGTCAGGGGTTTGTCTTGGTTTTTCCCTATGTGCAGACTTCCCCCAGGTTATCTTGCTCTGGCTGAAAGCTGAAGGGGGCTGGTGAAGGAACTCTTCAAAACCAGTAAGGCAGTGGCTGAGTTCTGGTTAATGAGTTACTCATAGCCCCGAGCTCCCGTGAGCTGCTTTGATCTCCGAGCCAAAGGAAAGGATGGATCATTCTTCAGCAGCTTCCTCTGCAACATCTGGGCTCTGCAAGAGCCAGCTCTGGATCTCTGGGAGCAGCACAGCCCCCCAGACATGGGGTGCTCCCACTGTCCAGCACTGCTGGAACCTGAGCACAGACTTGGTGCCACCAACAGCTGCAATTCTGGGCCTGACTCAAGTTTTGGATCTCTCCAACATGGACAACCCATTGTGCTGCAGCCCCTGCTGATGTCTCTGTGCACTACCCAGGGTTTAAATAGTTCAAAGAGAATGGTGGCAGACACTACCTGATGCCAGGTCCCTCATGGTGTCCTTAAAGTCATCATGGCCTCCTTGACCGTTGCCCTGGACACTTGTTGTCCTGAGGTTCTGTATTCTCTCACTTTAAATAACATTTTTTCCCTGCTCTACCTCCCATAAACAGGGCTACCAGCTCCACACTCCAGGGAGAAATTCCCACTCCTGTTCCCTTCATGGTCTGATGAGACAAAGTAGAAAAAATGGTCGGAGGGGAGAAGAAAGCATCTGGTTTTGGAATGAATAGAAGCTGCTGGTCAGGCTGCCACTGAGCAGACAAAGGCTTTGCAGCGTGTAGCTGCTTGTCTATGCAGGGAAATTAATTGGAACAGCTTTTCCAAATTAGCTGCATCTGATGATGATAAAAATAATAAAAACAAATAGTGGATTAAGTTAAATTAGGAAAAAGCAGCTTTATTCTGGAATAGGCGTGTCCGCATTCCAGCATATTTTATTCCACAATAGCAGCTTTGCCGTGCTGCTCTGTGCAGACAAGCCCTGACACCGGCCCTGTGCACGCTGCTGCTGCTCCTCTGCAGGGCAATCCTGCCTGCCTGCTCTCCCCTCCTGCTGCCAGAGCCTCCTCCACGCTTTCTCCTTCAGGCTGCTGTTTTTCCAGCACTTCTCCCTGCTTGAAAGCCCCCCAAGAACGTGGTGCGGCCTGTCTTGTGGATTTTGTTGTTTGTCATCTCATTGAAAGCTGCCCCCAGCCCTTCCCAAATGTGTGTGACCTGCTGCCCCTGATTTCTGCAACAACCTCCTGTCCAAATCTGGGCTAATTCCCACTTTGAAAATTCACTCCATTCCTTTGCTTAGCATCCAGACCTTTTTTCCCTCAAAGCTGGCTCCTGGGTTGCACAGGCAGCTTGCCTGCCTTCAGCTTAGCTCCTAAGTGACATCTGCACACACATACAGAAATCCCAGATTTATTTTGGATTGGGAAAGATGAGAATTTGGCACACACAACCAAACTGTGACCTCTCTGACCATGCTGCATTTGCAGAGCCTGGTTGCTGGATCTCATTTCATTGCTGCCAATTCCATGGGCTCGGTCTCCAGTGGGGTGAGCAGGAGTGACTCCACTGACCATACAGAGCTCCAGCATCTTACATCAGATTAGCATCTTGCCCTTTCTATTAGAAGAAAGACATAATTTTGATTATCTTGACATGTTTATCGCTGTGAGCCTGGGCCCGTTATCTCCACGGGTTCATTCTCAAATGTGCAGAGCTGCAAGGACACGATTGTCTTTTGGTAAAATCCCCTTTGAGGTATTTCTGCAGCTGCACTTTGTGTCAAAGGATAAAAAATGCGCAGGGTGACTTTCCTCACATTGTTGGGCAGGAGTAGCTGCTGTTTGCTGCGAGCCATTGCCTACACAATGGGGCTTCAGCTATTGCAGTTAATTTATGGGTCTGCCTGTGTTTACCCTCAAACCGTCTTGCAGGGAGGGTTTAAAGACATCAAAAAAGCAGTTTGTGTAAGTTTCCCTAGAAGCTGCTTCTCTGTGAGGATTGAAGTGGAAGAGCTGCTGGTTTGCTGGGTGTCAGGTTGACTCCTGACCCCACACAGCAAATCTGGGACTCATCCCAGAGCCCCCCCACCCACTCACAGGAGCATGTGTGATTTAATTTTGCCACTCAAACCCAGCTGCCAGTGTGCCCAAAGCAAGACCTTACTGCCTTTTTTTATTTCTTTGAGCTTTATATCATCTCCACAAAGGTTTTCCTTTTTTTATTGACATTTTTGATGTGAATTTGAAAAAGACTTGAAACTTCTGCCCTCTGGTCTGTTGAGTTACCAGCTTGATTCTGCATCCATCCCGCTGTTAGGCTGACCAAAGTCATTCTGCAGATTTCCTTCTCCCTGTTTGAGCAGCTTGCATCAGAAGTAGTAAATTCCTTGTCAATTACTATTTGTGTTTATTATTTGCTACACCAAAGGGCCCAGGCATGCTAGGCATGGGGTCCTTGACCAACACACAGAAAATATTCTCTCTTTCCCACCAAATTTTACGATCCAAGAACAAAACACGAGATAACTGAGGCTTGTCCAAGAGCCCCAGACCACAGTGTCAGCCAGCCCTAAATAGTCCCAGCATCATCAGCAGGGCTAAAAATAAGTCTCGTGAGGTTTATTTTCATCATTATTCTGCCAGAATAAGTCTTCTCCAGCATGTGGCCTTGCCCCAGCCCCATTCCCAAAGTTGCCAGAGCAGCCTTCCCTCTTCCTCCTCTTCCTCATCCCTGTCCCATCACTCCCATCCCCTCGGGGAGCCCTGGGGTCTGGCAGGGTGCAGCAGCAGCAGATGGCAGTGGCAGGGCCGGGTCACTTGTCAGTTGTCACTTTTGTCACTTGTCACAGCGCCACCAGTCACCGCTGGAGCCTCCCCTGCCCCGGACTCTGCCTTTGTTTGTCCAATGTGGCCCCAAGGGCTGGCCCTGCTCTGGTGGCAGCTTCACCCTGGCCTTGCTCCTGCTGTTCTGGATCTCACTGCTGATCCCCAGGGCTGGTGCTTTCCCCAGACACCAACACTCACCACGTTTTTCTGGTGGGGTCTCTATAGGTCAAGGCAGAGCCCAGTGGAATCCAGATCCAGCAATATGGGAAGGGATAAAGCAGGAATAACCCGTCCAGGATAACAGCTCTGGTCCTCAGCCAGCCCAGGATATCATAGAAGTGGCTCAGCAAGTGGCTTTGTCCCTTTCACACCAGTGTTGAGCCATTTAGGACAACGTGGGCATCTGTCAGTGCCACATTGGTGCATGGGGACACATCCTGGCCTTTCAGCCCCGTGCTGGGGGATGAGGGACCTTCCTCAGGCAGGTGCAAAGTGCTGCTGGCAAAAGGCAGAGTGACAAGTGAGATTGGCAATGAGAAACTGCTCGTGGTCACAGGGAAATTTCAGGATCATAAAAGCACTCTGTGATCTGTAATTATCAGGTGGAGGTTGGGGAATCACATTCAGCAAGTAGGTTATAAAAAGGAGAAAAGAAACAGTGTGGCCAAGGACAACAATCAGGGGAAACTTATCTCCAGGCCCAGGGTGCAAGTTTAATTTTACCCTTTGCTCTCCTTCCCTTCATTCAGTGGAGCACAATGGCAAAAACGCAGCCTTGGATATTTCTCCTTCCCCTGAGGGATGCCTGCTTGCTCTGGTATGGCAGAGCCCAAATTCTGGGATAAATGCCCTAATCCCAGGGCTAGAAGAGGAGATTCCCCTGGTGGGCTCCTGTCTCCTGTGCCCTTTCATTCATTCACTGTTAAAAGCAGGAGTATTGCAAATCTCACTAATGGTGTGCAGAGCTGCTCTGCCAAAGAACTGCTTGGTTTCCATACAGCAGACAAAAGCAGAGACAAAACCAAAGCTCAAAGCAGGGACAGAACATGCCCAAGTCTGCTGCCAAGGAGGGGACAGAGGCTATAAGTCACTGTGCTGCAGCGACAAACCCGATGGCAGCGCTGAAACAGAGCCCAGCCCCTCTCACATCTTCAGGGATGATTGTCAGAGGGAGCCAAAGGGGCAGGGAGCAACCCTGCCAGCCCCAGGGCTCATCCCACAGTTAGTGCTAAGCATGGCACTGGGAGAGGGAAGCTGTCAAGAAGCAAACCCATTCTCCCCTTGGAACAGAATTGCTTTCTTAGCTGCACCCCAGCCCTTCCCAGCCTTTCTGTCTTTTGCTTAATTAACTACAGAGCTTGTACGATTTTCTCTTTTTTTTAGGGTAAAAAAAAAAGAAGAAGAAGAGAAAGAAAATCAGAGCAGAATGCCGTTTTTGAGAACGCCCCCCGCCTCCGCGGCATCGCACGGATCTGCAGCTTCCGCCGCCCCCGCAGGAGCCCCGCGCTGCCCGGCTCCCCCGCACACACATGTGCGATGTGCGATGTGCGATGGGGGCTTCCCCCGGGCCCCCGGGCGGCGCTGGGAAAGGCCAAACCTGCCACGGTCCTTTCACAGCTCTGCAAGAGCATCCCCGCCCCGCTGGGGCATCCGCGCATCCCGCTCCGCGGTGACAGCCCCGGGCCGGGGGAAGCGCTCGGTCCCCGCTCCGCGGTGACAGCCCCGGGCCGGGGGAAGCGCTCGGTCCCCGCTCCGCGGTGACAGCCCCGGGCCGGGGGCAGCGCTCGGTCCCCGCTCCGCGGTGACAGCCCCGGGCCGGGGGAAGCGCTCGGTCCCCGCTCCGCGGTGACAGCCTCGGGCCGGGGGAAGCGCTCGGGGTCCCCGCTCCATCTTCCCTCGCTAGGAAGGATTCCCGCTAAATAAACAGCAGCTGCTGGTGAAGCGGATCTGAGGCTTTCTCCCGGTCTCTGACCGGAGCTGTGATTGCATCCAGGTGTGGGGAGCAGGAGCTCTGAGATGCTGAGCACTGAGATGCTGGTTTGGCACAGATTTGGCAGCGTTCACTTTGAACAGTGATGGGATGGCTCAGGGCTGACCCTCAGCGCTGAAAGACAAGACTCTTGGGGTGACAGTGACCGTGCTGCAAGTCCTGGGGCTGTCAGCAGTAGGGGAGGCAGTTTTGGGGATCTCACAAGGCTGGTCCCCAAACCCAATTCCCTCTCATTCACTCAGCTCTAAGATCCCTCTCCCCAAGACACATCCCCATCACCTCAGACTGTGCCAAAGCCCTCAGTCTTGGTGGAAACTTGGCTTGAGACACAGGAAACCAAACTCAGTTTCACTTCTGTTTGGTGTTTTTGTTTGGGTTTTTTTTCGGTTTGTTTTGTTTTTCTTTTAATGTTGAGCTGGATCTACAGATGTGAGATCAGCCCACGCTCAAGGGCCTTTGTGGTGATCCCTGGCTGGGCAATACCCGGGGGAGTCTCGGTGTTGCCCTGGGCTCACGGGCAGCCCCAGAGCCGCAGGGATACTGATTGAGATGAGGTGTGAAAGGCTCATGCAGCTCATCCTGCCATGGCAGCTCTGTGCTGTCCCATGGGCTCCCAGGAGGACCCACAAAGGCCGCGGGTGAAAGTGCGAAGTCGCATTGTCACTCACTGAGCTCAGGTGAGAGGGGTCAGAGAGGTCCGGGAGCCACATCCCATTGCTGCACCTGCTGCCATCTCCAAATAACTGATTTCTCAAATTGCCTGATTTCCAAACACCCACAAACTGCCCCATCAGGGCCTTTCTCACCCTGGGCTACAAACCAGAGCTGTTGTCACTGTGCAATGCCAGAGCTGTGGGGAGCAGACCCCAACAAAACCCCTCCCCAAGCCCACTGTTCTCCTGCCACTCAGGGAGCGCTGTCCCCTGCTCCCCGTGCCCTGGCAATGGCACGGCAGGCCCGGCCATGAATCACTGTCTGGCACGGACAGCATCCCCTCCATACCACACCTGCCACGCTTTGGTTCGCCCTTCCCCTGGACAAGTTTTTCCCCCTCCCTTTGAGAGTGGCTCTTTTCAGCTCGCCGTGGAAGGAGCCTGTTCTCCCGGTGATGGATTGCACCTGATTTCAATATCAATGAGGCTCTCTGCCCGCACAGCCCCGAGCAGCCTGTTTAGCCGAGGTTTGTTAACAGGATCACATCCCTCCTCCTCCTCCTCACATCCCTCCCTGATGCCTCCGGCTCTGCACCGAGGAGGCAGCGGCAGATCCACTCTTGGGGATGGATTTTGGTGATGCTGGTGATGGGGCTGTGATGTACCAGACACAGGGATGGCCTCGCAGTGGGGTTTGCCGAGGGCTGTTCAGTCCCAGAGAGATGGTTTAGCACGGGCTCTCCAGCGCTGAGCACGCCGCCCCAGGAGGCTGATGTTGCCATGGTGCCTCCTCTCCCTCTGCTGATTTCAAAAAAAATGAAAGAGAAGAAAAAAGATGATCCTTTCTTTTCTCCCGGGCTTTTATCTCCCCCTCTAAGGCTGTTGGTTTGAGTCTTATGTGGAAAGCATCCTTTGCTAAAGGAGCCAGAGGGAGCCATAAATTCAGGCGACCCCGAGCGATGCCTCTTGCCCCACACCCCATCCAGTGAGGGCCCTTTGTTCTTCCCACTGGCTGCAATTTATGGTGCTCAATCCAGGCAGTTCCCAAGAGAGCTGTCACCCTTGTCCCCAAACTGACAGGCCACAGAGAGGCACCGACTGTGTTTTGGCAGTGCAATACCTGCTCCAAAACATCAGCCAAACCCAGCCTGAAGGGATGCCCGCTGCTCTGCGCGCTGTATGTCCCACAGGGATCAGAGTCCTGATGACAGCCCCCTGCTAACCAGCTTTTCAAAGCTGTCCTGTGGTTTGGAGATCCTCAGCTCCATTCCCACCACATGGGCCAAAGTGGTGTCAGCGTCCCTGCAAGGTGCCAACATGGGAACAGGCCCCTGGCTGCCAGGCTGCAGCTCACTAGGAGCATCCCGGGGGCTTCTTCAGCAATAAAAATCACCTGCTTTAATATTTCTTACCTGAGAGAGCAGGAAAGGCAGAAATTCTACTGATATCGACCTCCCACGCTGAGAAAGTGAAGTGAAATCATCCCAGAGAAGCACGTCCTACCAAGCCATCCTGGCTGCCACATGTGGTCAGATCCGAGCCCAGATGAGAGGAGTGGAAAGTCCCATGGAAAAGGTGAAGGAATGGTGTGAATTACTCATCCAGCTCCGGCTGGCCCAAAAGGCAACCCCCCAGCTCTCCATGTGAGTGCAGGACACTGAGATCTGTGCCTGTATCTCTGGGGATCTCACAGAACTGCTGAGCCAGAGTCAGCATCTGTTCCCCCCTCTCCTCTCCCCTCCCCAGAGTTTAGTTAAGCTTCGTGTCATGGAGAAGAGGAAAAGGAAAACAGAGGGCGAGGGGAAGCAATGCAAACTGTAAAAACAGTGAAGGACTCCTCCAGTGCCCTGGGGAGCTCAGGAATGGGAATGAGGGTCTAAGTTTTCCAGTAGAAAAAATAAACTCTCCTGATGAACCAGGGAAGTGAGTTCCTCTGGATTAGGTCAAGACAATCTGAAATTTTGGGGCTGCCAAACAACTCATCCTTCTCTGCAGCCCCACAGCTTTGTCTCTTTGATACCTGGGCTTGTCTCCCACATCTGTAGCGGAGTTTTGGGCTCCTGTGCCTGTTCCTGCACTAATGCTTCTCCAGGGATCCAGGGGAAAGCCTGTGGTACTGCCAGTGTAGGCCATGTGGATTCTAATGCTGGGACAATGGCACAGCTGTCCTGCACCAGCCCTTACCAGGACCTGGCTGGATAAACCTGACCCCATAAAGACCCCATTGCCCTGCTTTTATTTATGAACTGGCATCTGCTGTCCCACACAGCACAGCGTGGTGGCACAGTGGATCACGTTCCCTCCAAGCCCTGTGGTGTCACCCCACAAGCCAAGGGCACAGCTTGGCTTCCCACCATGGTGCACATTCACCAGGGTCCCTGTGACAGCAGGTGAGGTGGCTTGACTTGGCTCTTGACAGAAACTGAGATGAATTTTCCTCTCTCCACACCTCACATGGCGACAGCAGCCATGAGGGCATGTGGATTTCATATTGGCCATCACTCCTTCTCTTGACTGACCAACTCAAGGCTTCACCCCTGGACTTCTCCACCAGGAAAGGTTCTTGCTGACTTTTTGTTGAGATTCACTTTCCAGACTGGGGCTGAGCAAGCAGCTGGGGACGTGCCAAAGCTGCTGCTGCTCCGGAGACCCGCTCCCCGCCGGGGGCTGCTGGCAGCCAGAGGAGCAGCTGCACACCAGGAATTGCATCACGGAGGTGGAGGGATGGATGGAGGGATGGATGGATGGATGTAGGTGGGGCTCGGTGGCGGGCGGTTCGTGCCTTGGGGCCGCTCCTGGCTGCGGTGTCTGACAGCTGCTGGCAGGTAAGGGCTGGCCGGCAGGATCAGCGCTGTCTGAAACAACGCAAACGCGCACCAGAAAAAGGCGCCCGGGGGCAGGGATGGGCAAACACGCTGGAGTCTTCTTGACAGCTGGATTTCCTGTGCCTGAGCCAGCTCCCTGACGCAGGTCTCTCCCCAGGGCCTGTGCAGCTCCTGGGGCTGCTGCTCCCCTGGGAGCTGGAGGAGCCCGGGGTGCAGCGAGGGGTCTGCAAACCTCCCACTGTACAGGCAGCTCTGGCCCCAGTGCTCCCTGATGGGGATGGGCTGCAGGGAGTAGCAGCTTTACCCTCAAGCAGAGATTGAGTGGGAGGGAAATACTCTGGTAAAACTTCTTCCAAGCCCAGCTCCCTGCAAAGGTTTCCCGGGGGCTCAGCTGGAGGCTGTCCAGGGATGCAGCCTTGCACGGGTGAGACGTGCAGCCGCCTCCTGCACCCACTCCACTGCCTCCTGCCAAGCCACAATCCACAGAACAGAGGTAACTGGGATCACACCAGCTCTATCTCCGTGGGTTTTCCAAGTGAACGCCTGGGAAGACTGAATAGTATTGATCTCTCCCCTTTCTTCTCTGGAAATTCCCTGTGTGTATGGGTTTTTCCATCCAGCCTGCACATCATCACAAGGAATCCAGTTTTGGTAGCTGCTGCCTTCCCATTCCATCTTGTAGGAAGCATGAGCACAGCTTGAATGATGCTGCCAAGTTGTACCACGTGCCCACCAGGCACTTTTGGCAAGTTCTGGAAGTGAGCGAAGCGTGGGGCTGACATGTGTGGAGCCATCCGTAATATTTTCCCGGGCAGCTCTGTGGCATGCAGGGCATCAGCACTGTGCTTAATTAAACTGCAGTCTCCCCAGCAACCGGGCAGCAATAGGAGGAATTATATATTTGCTTTTATTTATAGTGGCAGCCTTCATCCTGAGATTAAATGGGAACCAGCCCCTCTCCCCGCACACACAGCAGCTCCGGGGCAGCTTCTGCAGAGGGAGAGGGAAGAAAAGGCTACTTGTTTCTCAAGATGCCCTTTGCTATTCAAGTTCCTTCTACGTGGTTTTATTCAGCTGCATCTTACACCAGGCATCAAACAAGCCCCAGACTATTATGTGCTGGAAGCTTTCCCCATGGAGAAAGCTGCTTGGATCCGCCTTGTGTTTTCCAGTCCATCGCCCCAGTGAGACACACAGACAAGTTAAAACAGGCAGATTTCGACAGGGCCCAGAAAGAGGGTTGTGAAGGATCTGCCAGGCATGGAAGGGCTGCCTCCCCTTGCTCCCTGTCCTTCCCAGTGGAAAACAGGAAGGATCAGGAAGGCTGCTGCTTTCCCAGCTTCCAGCATGGGGGTTTTCTCCCACAGCAGCACCCACAAGGTGCCTGGCAAAGAGGAGGAAATTTGTCACAGTGGTGATGGGTGGGGAAGGGATGGGATCTACACATCAGGGCTCCCAGCAAGGGTGGGGATTTCACTGCTAATGTGAGCTGAAGGCTGGTTAGGCAAGGGCTGCTCACAGCTCTGCATCCCTGAGAGAGATCCCTCCCTCCCTGCTGGCCCCGAGGTACCCCCAGGGCTCGGGAATAGGGGCAGGGCTGGGGCACCTCTTTGCCCAGGGGGAAATTTTTCCCATATCTAGAGCTGGAGAGTATCCAGTGGCCAAGAGGATCCCCCAGGGTAGATTACTCATCTCAGTGATGAGCTTTTTTGGTTTTCTGGACTATGTGAGGCTCCAAGAATTTGCATCCAAGCCTGGCAATATTTATTCATTAAATTACCCAAAAAAGGGAGCTTGAGGAAACAAGAGGTTTAGGTGAGGGGTTGGACTAAGCATGGAGGAAAAAGGAGAAGGGGCAGTGAAGGAAAAAAGGGAACAGAAAAGGGGAACTTTGTGGGGTGAAAAGGCCTATTTTAAGGTTCTTTGGGGAAGAGGATCTTCACCTTTATCCAGACCAACCAATTACACAGTTTTGAAAATTTCTGCTTGCAGAAGCTTGGCTCAGGAGCTGAGCTGCCTCTGGTGAACAGGACTGAGTTCACTAAAATATGTGCCCTTTTGTGGGGAACCAACAATGTGCAAATCCAGGACAAATGCAAATGCAGGGCTTCAGCCAAAACAAGGGAGAGAGATCATTTGGGAGATGTCGAAACATCTTGTTTCAACGTGGTTTTTTTTCA